GGGGGAGGGAGGGTGTGACAGACTGTTCTGTCCGAGTTTCACGGACTCGTCACTTCAGAAGGCTGAACCCTCAATCTTCTAATTGGTATAAAAAAAATAAAAAAATAAAAAAGAAGGTTGAACCCTCTACAGTCTGCAGGGTCCCCTAACCAATGATACTGTAAGCCATACCACTGTTGTAGTTGCACTGAATATCTCAGCTAAAAATCAATCTGTAGGGCTCGACTTGCGATCTGATTACTAGGATATAGAAAAAAAGAGTTCACGAATGATGGCCCCTGGAGGAGACTCTCCTTGGGGCTGTCACAAGCCATCTGATCTCCCCACTGGTCGAGTACAACGACAGGCACCTCCCGAGGCCTAGCATCCAGCCTCTACTACGATCTGGACTTCAAAAAAAAAAAAAAAAAAAAAAGGTAATCCAATTTCATCGAGTCGCTAAGATCTATGTCTAGTTAAAAAAAAAAAAAAAAAAAAAAAAAAAAAAGAAGGATCTATGTCTAGTCTTCTGTTCTTTTTTCTCTCTTTTCATTTCTCTTTTACTTTTTTTTTTCTTTTTTTTTTGCAAAAACGCCAGAATTTTCTTTTCTTTTCTTAGTTTCTACTTTCCTTCCTTCCCTCCAACGCTCATCCAATGACATCCATCCATCCATCCATCCTTCTTTCCTTCCATTTTTCCTTCATATGCTCCTCCTCCTCTCCCTCCCACTCCTCCTCCTTGATGTCCAGTAGTGCTTCCAGTTCTCCTGCTAAACCCTTGGCAGGACCACTGAAAGCACTGCCGGACATCAACCCTCCTCTTCCACTCCTGGTTCATCGCTCTCTTTCCTCCTCCATTCTTCATGTTCCATTACTCTTTCTCTGGCATCTACCCTCCTCCTTGTTCTCCAGCATTCCCCCCTCCTCCTCCTCCTCCTCCTCCTCCTCCTTCTCCTCCTTCTCCTCCTCCTATTCCTCCTCCTTTTCCTCCTCCTCCTCCTCCTCCTCCCCTTTCCAATCCTCCACCTTGCTGTCCGATGGTGCTTCCAGTGCTCCTCCTTACAACTTTCTTCCGTAAGGCTTCAACTACCCTCCCTCCTCCTTTCCAATGCTCCCATCCTTCCTTCCTTCCAATGCTCGCAGCGCTCCTGCCAACCGCCGGATGGCGCTCCCAGTGCCCCTTGGATGTTTCCTTCCATTGTTGTTATCTCTAATGCTCCCCATTCACTGCTAATCATTCAAATCCACTTCTGTGCCACCTTCCTTGCTCCTCATCTTAAATTTTGCTACTGCTTCATCACGCTCCTTATTCTTCTTTCTCTCCTGCCTGATCAATCTCTTTCTTCCTTCTCTTCCTTCTCTCCTGCCTCACCACTGTCTTTCTTCCTCCCTCGTCTTTCAGCCAAGGGTTCTTCGTCCCTCCTCTCTCAGTCAAGAGGGTTTATCGCTCTCCTTATTACTCCAGGCTTCCTGTTCTATCACTCTTCCTCTGACATCCATCCTACTTCTTGTTCTCCAGCATTCCCCCCTAAGCTTCCCCTCCCCGTCCTCCTCCTCCTCCTCCTACTCCTCCTCGCTTCCCCTTCCACTCCTTATTGATATCCGGCGATGCTTCCAGTGCTCCTGCCAAAGACTTTTTGATGTGTGCCAGGTCTTCTTCTGCT